CCCCCCACCATCCGTCCATCGCATCCTCACACCTGCCACTTCCTCTGCTGAAGGCGATGGCACTGTCTGGAAAGCACGACGGTCGAACAGGTCTGCAACAAACTCAGCAGCAGAAATGAGATGCAGAGGTTATAATGAATGATGCGCGTTACGCTCACACACATGTGGCGCTGAGGCTTCACCATGTAAGACCTTCACCTTTGTCCACCAGCTACAATCGATGTTTCATGCATCCTCCACAAGATTCACTTCCGATACCCAGTCCATTGGAGGCTGGGTACAAAGCGTCAGATTCCCACAATCGTGTGGATGAGAGAAGACCTCATTACATCGGAGACACAGTCAGACACGCACACAGCTGCTCCTGCACCAGGGGCATTGGGAAGGGTCTACTGGATATCATATGTGTCTGAGTGAAGGTAGATCAGGTTATCGGGTTTGATAAAAAATTATAAACCCAAATCATGGAAGGCGGTGGAAGGGGATCCAGGCCTGCTCACTGCCGCGGGGCGCGCTGGTCTGTGCTCTGCCTGCACGCTTAATTGCTTTGCTGAAGTTATTATTAGGACAGAACCCGTTCACCTGGAGGTCCAGGTGTAAAGTCGGCTTCCTGAAGAAGCATCCAGAAAGCCTGCAGACGGTGGGTGAGGTCCCCGCGGAAACAGCAGGAAGCAGCCTTCGACCACCGGAGATGCTGATCGACTGCGGCTGACCACGGCGACGTAATCGGATTGCGAGGGGATGAACACACCACTATTCGAATGTGAATCACACGCAGCGTTTATTCTCCGTTTAGCTCAGGAACGCTATCGCTCCCCCTGCTGGGTCACAATCAGCTACCCAACAGCGTATGGCGCTGTAAATCTCATTAACGCCATGGTTTCTGTGGTGGCCTGGGCACGGCGGGGGAGGGGCCAACGAGAAGGAGGAGGTACTCACAAGGCACGGCGTGGGAGGGGCCAACGAGAAGGAGGAGGTACTCACAGGGCACGGCGGGGGAGGGGCCAACGAGAAGGAGGAGGTACTCACAGGGCACGGCGTGGGAGGGGCCAACGAGAAGGGAGGAGGTACTCACAGGGCACGGCGTGGGAGGGGCCAACGAGAAGGGAGGAGGTACTCACAGGGCACGGCGTGGGAGGGGCCAACGAGAAGGAGGAGGTACTCACAGGGCATGGCGTGGGAGGGGCCAATGAGAAGGGAGGAGGTACTCACAGGGCACGGCGGGGGAGGGGCCAACGAGAAGGAGGAGGTACTCACAGGGCACGGCGTGGCGGTACAGGTTATCTCTGATGGTCTGCTGCAGCTCGTAGTCCGGGGACGACTTCTGAAACCTCTGACTGAGATAGTGCTTCAAGTCCTTATTCAGCTTGCTTCCTGAAAAACGTCAAAGGAAAGAGGAGGCAGGTGAGTGTCAGTGATGCCACACAGCAAGCAGAACACCGCGGCCCGTCCCGCACTCCCCAAAACACGCCCCAGGCCGTCGTCTAGCAGCATCCGCAGGAACACTATCCATGTCTTGCACCACAGATACCATTGCAGTGATATTCCAGAGTCCTATTGGCTGAGATCAGAGCACCTAAAGCTGCGGCTGAACACAGAAAGACATGGCTTTAGATTTTTATTACCCACATTACTGCTGAAACGTGCCGGATTTTCCTTTGCTGGAAATACAAGGATTTCAGTTTAACATGTTACTTTAATCAGAGTGGAATGTTCGTATATCAGCTTTTAGAAAGAAACATATACACACATACACACACACACACACACACAGTATGTTATGTAATATATATATATGTGTGTGTGCTTCTTTTATTTCTGAATAAATGCAGTTATACTAACATTCCATAGACACACACACACAAATATATATATATACATGCAGTGCAGCTTTGACACACCTACCCACTGTGGACAGTTTTATCCAAAGAGACACCTATCCACCAATCCCTTTGGCAACTGGGGGTTAAGGGCCTTGCTCAAGGACCCAACAGTAAAATCACTCTGCCGACTCTGGGATTTGAACTGATGACCTTCTGTTCATAAGCACAAAGTCCCGATCCACTAAAGTACACACCGCCCCCAAATAAATAAAAAATAGGAAATATCTACATTATTGGCCAGGTCTTCTCTCGGTCAAACAATATCTTCACCAGGAGGCTTTGGTTTATAACCTAGACAGCACTCGCACCCCCATCCACAGGATATAGACGATAATTCGACAGACAATGTGAATAATTTGCCACCCGCAGCTGTGCCATCTGCTTCACAGATACTGTACACTGCTGACAAAGTGCAAAATGGTGAAGATGCCAAAAGCTTTTTTGTTTGGACATCAGAGTGTGGTGCTTCTGGAGCACATCATTCCCGCTGTCCTGTGGAGACTGCACTGCACAGTCTGCACCGCACAGTCTACACCATGATCGGGCCTCACTGACATGCAAACTCTGGTCTCCCTGTGCACAAACACGCACAAACACGCACGAGCACAAACACACACACGTACGCACACAAACACGTGCATAAATAAACACACAACTCCACTGCTATATTATTCCTTCAAGCCCGGATAGATTTAGCCCAGAACCTTGAGAAAATTTGATCATGCAACGCCAGGTTCTTTCTATCAAATCCTACCTAGACGCAGAACTGTTACTCATCTTCCCAAAATAAACTCCAGGAATTCCCTCCTGGAGTCTCAGCGCTGAAATAACTGCAGAGGGACCCAGGCCCATGGAAATCGGACAATTTTTCCAGTAAAGAGTGGGTGCCGACAGTTGGTCTGAAATTACCAATACAAAAAAATACTTCAAATACTATTAAATCGAGCAGCCATGATCTCAAAACAGGATGTGTTCCAGCGGTCTGAACATTATTCTTCATGCGACTATGACTTTAATCACATTGTCCACTCTTTTTAAACGAGCTATTCTCCATTGATCTCAGTCCCTGTCGTACCAAAAACCAACAGAAGGGGCATGTGCGTAGGTTACTGAGCAAGAGAGAGACACTGCAGTCAGTCTTGCTTCAGGACGGCTGATAACAGGCTGTCAGAAAGCTGCCGCTCTGCTCCTCTCACTGTCAGCTGATGCACGCGTCCCACATGCTGCAGCGTACGCATCTGTGGGACAGGGTAGTGATGTCACTGTGCTGCCACACGCTGTACCTTTAAGGACCCTGACATGGAGCTCAAGCTGACCGATGCAGACGGACAACACAGAGCCAACAGAAGCTGCCGTCACCATCGATTCAATTAAAGGATCGGATCCGTCAGACACTGATGGGCACACAGAATATGGGACTGTCAGACTGAAAGAAAGTCTATTTTGCCTTCAATGCAATTAAAACCAACCCCATACTGCAATTAAAACATATAACCTTAAACATAAGACGAGTTTGGGCTGCACTTCGAGAATGAGTGTATTGGGGTTTTCAGTGCAGAGCTCTTGATTAATGACTTGCGTTAGACCTTGGGAATCCACAGATGGGGAATTTTTGTAGACAAAAAATTATGCTAATTGTTTTTGACAATTATATATACCTGTATTATTGACTGAAATATAATCAACAAAACCTGAAATCGCAGTTGGCTGCACTTTAATTTGGCATTTATAGAATTTCAGCACAGCAAGGAAATAGAGTTGAATAAAGTTGCTTTCATATGGAGTTATGGAAGGGCGTCTTTGTATGTTTACAGACTACTGAGCAATGAATTACAATTACCAGAAATGGTTGCTGTGGAAACAATGTACAAGCATTCATGAGTATGTGTGTGTGTGCGTGCATGCGCGTGTGTGTGCATGCATGCGTGTGTGTGTGTGTGTGTGTTTGTGAATGCATTTATGCATGTGCATGTGAATGGATGTACATGCGTATATGTCATCGTGTGCATCTGTGTAGGGTCCACAGCAGGACTTTCTGTAATGTGCTATTTGTAGCAAAGAGGGACACCATTACACAGGCAGTCTGTAATACTGTATCTGACTTACAAAGAGGTCACATGGGAATATGAGTCAAAAAGGAAGGAAGCCTTCAATGGATTGATGCCATGGACACGGAGATAGGTTTGGAGGTCAGATCATCACACTAGAACATGTATCATTTTACAAACATATTTTTCCAGAATGATCAATTCGACATATATAAAGACTAAAACATTCTAAGCAACACAGGAGACATGCTACATTCAAACAGCTACTTAAATCTGAAGAGAGTCCTGGCACGGGGAGTACAGTCAGCAGCAGAGTTACCTCACACCTGCAGGGCTGGTAGTTCCAATCCCACATCTGCTCTGTGTGAGTGGAATTTGAACGTACTCACGATGTTGTGCAGGTCTCCTCCCACAGTTCGACCAACTAGCTTCTATAAAGTTGCCAACAGCATGGGCCTGTGCCCTGTGAGAGAGAGGAATTCCATCCCCACGGGGTCACGACCCCAGCCAGTACACCAAGAGAAACAGGTGTCCCGTCCCAATGGGACCTTAACATGTGCCCTGTGAGGGACTGGCATCCAGTCCAAACGAGATCATGACCCCAGCCTGTGCCCTTTGAGGGACTGGCATCCAGTCCTAACGGGATCGCAACCTCAGCTTGTTCCCTGTGAGCGAGAGGCATCCCATCCCAGGGGGATCGTGACCTCAGCTTGTGCCCTGTGAACGAGAAGCATCCCATCACTGAAGGATCACGATCTCAGCTTGTGCCCTGTGAGGGACTGGCATCCCATCCCAATGGTATCACGCACCCCAGCCTATGCTATGTCAGGGAGAGGCATCCCGTCCCCATGGGATCACGACCCAAGCCAATGCACTAAGAGGAACTGGCATCCCACCCAAATGGGATCGTGACCCCAGCCTGTGCGCTGTGAGGGACTGGCATCCCATCTCAATGGGATCGCGACCCCTGCCTTGCACCCTGTGCTTCTTGGGATAGGGTCCAGATGACCCTGACCAGAAGCTAGAAAACGGACTGGAGATTCACTATGTGGATGATGGAATCCTAAACCTTTGAAGTGACAAACTGATTGTTAGGAAAAGCAAAGTGGCATGCAATGAGTGCTTTTTAAATAACTTAGCATGTAGCAATAACTGCCACATTTGAATTCACAGTGTGGAATTAAACTACCCAATCAACGTTAGGTTATCCATAAAAAAATATTACATATCTGATGAATTATTCAACTGAAATGAAATGGATGTTTCCAACAGTCCAGAATTCTTTGCTGTCATTGCTAGCAGTGGGTCCACAGCCATCTCACATCCACACTGAGACAAAGACAGAACTCCGTATGTCACCAGCACCATGGCCTCCACCATCACAAGTTAGCCAGAGGCCCAGAAGTCACCGGCGGTGTTATTCTCCATTTTTCATGCCGTCAGTGTCAGTCTGAGGATGGAAATTGCTTTGATGCTCTGAGATTTGTCTTTCAATGAACAATTAACTCCAGAGCATTGCAATGTTTCTAGGTCACAAATGTTCTAGGAAAAAGGAATTCATACACCATGATCCACTTCTCCCAAATGCCAACAAGCAAGAATGGTCACAGATTCACTTAGCTTGATTCAATTTGGACGCTGGTGCATGTGTCTGAACAACCTTACAAAGCACCAAACCAAGTGACTAATCCATTGGCATATGGCTACGCGGTACCTCAAAAACAATACAGACTTAGGGAGTAGCCAGTAATCACGCAGATGGTGGGGGACATGTTTAAGGGCGGGTTTTAAACACGGATAACAGTCTGAGGCCCATATGGACTGCCAGCTCCTAGCTCTCTCCTGATGCCTGAGAAATAAGCTTATTGAAGTCACAGTCATCGCCTTAGCTGAACAGGATGGCGTTAAGTGTGTACAGGAACTATGCAATCTTAGATGAGGTCAAGTCAGGTCAGGTTGGGGAGCATGCGCTGACACAGCGTGTGGCCGCACCCACCACACAGCGAAGTTCCTCGGGATCCCGGCCAGCGACCCCCCAGGCAGACACATGGTCCAGTCCCACCCTCCGGAAATGGCCATCCATCTGCCACGGCCAGGTGTTACATAGGCGTCCCCTTGGCCTGGTCCAGCCACTTGGGTCCTCAGCAATGAAGATCCTGCAAGCCGGATTATTCTCAGGGAAACGCGCCGCATGGCCGTAGTGCCATAACTGACGCTCCCTCACAATGCAGGTAATGTGCCTCATTCGGGATTCCTCTAGCAACACAATTTCAAACCAGCGGTACCCAAGGATTCTCTGAAGAGACACAGTACCGAAGGAGTACAGCCTTCATCTCAGCTCATTAGATAGCATTCATGTCTCACAGCCATACAGCAAGACAGGGAGCACCAGGATTCTAAAGACTTGGACCTTCATCCTCTTGCAAAGATATCAGGAGCGCCA